CCATTTGCGAATGACTGCTTGAGGATGGAGATTTTCTGACAATTGTCAGAATTTTGTTATACACAATTTTCTTTCAAAAGTTACTTCCCGCACTGAGTGCGGGAAAAAAACTTTCCCACAAAGTGATACTTTCTGAACTAAAGTCAATGCGGGAAAGTGGGCAAAATCGCACGGTCGTAGAAAATAGTATATTTCCTAACTAGTGCGAAAAAGAGACTTTCCGCACGAGAAAGGAACACTATTTTTTACGAGATGGAAGTTAATATTTGTTCCTGTATGTTTACCAATTTAAGATATTTTTTTTTCCTTTTCCGTACCTGTAGCTGTAATATACCTGTATACCACCTAAGTACCTGTATACCTAAAAATTTTAGGTATTCTACTTTTCCGCACTAGTGCGGAAATGTAGCACACTCATGACCTGAAATGCGTGCGGAAAAGTGCACTTTTCCGCACGCTCGTAGAAAAAATTATTATCAGCATTGTTTTTATTGAATGCGGTTTGGGTTGGGTTGGGTGGGCCACTTTACCATTTGCCCGGTGGGCCAAATGACCCCCAGTCCGACACTGCTGGGAAAAGTATACTTTATATCCCTTATTACGGCCGGCGGTAAGCATAAATACAAGCTTTTAACCACTCACCCCATGGAGTTTTCAGCCAGCTTGGATATATGATCGAGTGAGTTTTTCTATTGCGAATAACAGTCACGCTTAATATTTTATTAAATATTCTTTCGAATTTCTCTAGAATTTTTCTCATATTTTAATTATTTTAGAAACTAAAGTGAAGCCAAGTTTTTGGCACCAAATACAGGTAAAGCATTGAAATTGCCTATACCGCCATTTTTTGATGCCAAAATACCTGGAAAAAACGGCTTCATTTTCCAACTCCATGTTACTACTCCTTCACCTTTACCTGCTCTAAGATATTTTCAGTGTTGCAAATTTCAATAAATATTAAAATGCAAATAACTTTCTTAAGAATGCCACTAGATTTTTTAAATTATTTATCTGGGGTTCATTGAAAACAATCAACGTTGAAAAGTACTCCACCACGTATAGTGAAAAGTTTTTACGCTATTTTCCGGACACCCTGTATAACTCGAGACCACTCGAGACGTGACGAGACGAGACTTTGTTACTCGAGACCGAGACTAACTTGCGGTCTTGTCTCGAGATGTCGAGACGAGACGAGACCAAACTTAAATCTCGTCTCGTGGCACCACTACTGTGGTTTATTTACTTTTGTTCCAAAAATAATTTTTTGTGCCGTATGATCTTATACAAAGTTTTCTATTATTTTGGTCCCAACGAAATCCGAATTTGTAAAAATATTGTCTATGCAACTAGCTGAAGTTGTAGTTATTCGTGTATTTTCTGTTAGGTATTGTATGGATTAAGTTAAATCACTTCATTATTGTTACAAACTCGTCGACTGGTTTTTCTTGATCATTTCTATAGTGAAGTCTCCTACAAAAAAGATTGGCTGTTTAATCGCAATAGTTCGTTAATAAATTCCACATTCGAATAACCTTTCAAAATATCAGTAATTGTGTAAACGGAGGTGTAAACATAGGATTTAAATTTTGTGTCTCTTTGATTTTAATGTTGGGTTTATCTTGAAGTGTCGATTTTAATTTTTTCTGCTCAAAAGTGTTGCTCCGTTTTTTAAATGTCTTATATTTCTGAAGCCTCCGTCTATGTCATTTGTATTAATTTGAGTTTTAAGCTGTTTTATGGTAATATTGTCTATTCGAGCTATTGTTTCCAGTTTTTTTTGTAAATTTGGGTGTTTTCCAGGTGTCTGTTACTTTTTTATTTTCATTTGGGATCGACGTTAGCGTTTTTTTTTTTGTTATAGTAGCGTATGTTTTCTGTTGTAACAATTGGTTTTAGGGTTGGTTCACTTTTAAGTTTTTATCTACTGAGGAAAACCACCTATTTAAAATATTATTTCTTCCAATCCTAACTTTTTAAAAAAACGTTTACTGAATAAAAATAAATGTTAAAACCTTGTATGCGCCGTGAAGCGTACTGAAAGAGTAGGTGCCGAACGGGAGATAGAGAATAGGCAACTAGACTAGAGAACAAACTGGGCTGGTCCCTTAGACGCGTGTCTGTAATTATTCATTATTCAATTTTTATTTTTATTTGCATTAAACTGATTGTTCAATCCAATTTGTTATTAATGTGTGTGTCAAGGAGCGATTACAGGTCAGTTGAATAATTGTTATTTTGTTTTTGAGAGTTCAATTATTTATACAAGTATCATTTGTTTCATTTTTATGTTTTTTGGTTTGTTTATAACATTTTTTATAACATGTGCATTGTTCATGTATTTAACCAAAATCGTTTCATGCTGTAAACAACGCAGATAAAGAGTAAATTAAAACCTAGAAGAAATTATGTGTTGTCTTCTGTGCTAGGATTTTGATTTTTGGATTTAGAGCGTGCATTAGGGCCTTGTTGAATATACTAACATTTTCCTACAGTGACGAGAGAATATCCTAGCAAATTGAAATCATCAATCTAGAGATATTGGCTCAAAGACAACTATAGCTGAGTAGATTCTCGTATGGGACCTCAGTACCTGCTGGGAAATTGGCTATAAAAAACTCTTCAGTATTGAATATAGGTAGTGTTGATTGAATGTAGTGTGTGTCATTGAAATTTTAGCACAAAGACAAAGGATGGTACCTAATTTAAACTTTTATTGAATTAATGACTCACAATTATTATTAAAATGACACAGTATGTTCTAATTTTTGAGGAATGTTAGATCGAGGGTTTCTCTGCCGTGCTCTTTCCCCTCGTTAGTTCCAGGATGAGAACGGTATAATAAAGTAGAAGTTTCACAAATTTTTCGTTTCTTTTACATATCACAAGCTCTTTCAAATTTCCCTAATATTTGCTGTCGGGCGCATGTCCAGTGAGTAAAATTGAGTAAGTTTCCACAACGTAGGTCCTATTTGTTTTTCATTTCGTTTTTCAGAAGATTTGTTATTGTTTAAAGATAATAAAAATTCTCATCGTTCAATCTTACTGAACGAAACCGGGTATGTTATACTACACTACATGAAAATTTGCTTGAAGGTCTCTTATTTGTATTTTATGTTCTAATGTATTTATTTTCTGTTGTATTTCCCCCATTTTATATGTGAAAAATGTTATTGTTAAGCAGTCATCTGCTATTCCGGACTCGGCTAACGCCTCGTCCAGAAACAGCAATGATTCGTCCTGAAAAACTTCATTTTAGGTACTTGTGACAAAAATAACTATTTCGGCACATTAACTAAATACGTGTTTATCGGAGTAGGTATACAATGATTGCACATATTCATAATAATCCTTAATTATTATAATTACACCAAGTTATATTACAGTGCGAAGTTATGTGAAACTTTGGCGTCCTTTGGAGGCTAAACTATCAACCGCACAAGGTTAGGCCAATGAATGATGGTTTTTAATCAGAGCCTTAAAAACTACAGCATATCCAAATTTTGAAAAAATCTGTCGGAGATCCATTTGCCATAAGAGAAGTGCCTCCTCCTTTTTTTATGATATTTTTTGTTTACTTTTATTTTCATCGAAACTGTTCGGGGCCCCCAAGGAAAGTCTCGCGGGAGGGCCCCCAAGAAACTCGGCACGCCCCTGTTCAAAAAAATTTGCAACCTATTAGAAAAAACTTTAGACCAAGAGAAATCGAATGGCGCAAACCGCAGGTAGCTAGCACACCTGGTTTAAAAGTTATAACCATTTAAAATGGTTCACTTTCGGCTGGGACACCCTATATCTTTGCATTCAAACAAAGTAACGTAAACAAGAACAAAATATGTATAGAGTATAGAAAATACCCGCATCACTACTTTGCGCAAGCGAGTACTTCAAGCAGGATTATACTACTGCTACCTACTAGAAAAAGTTACTTTTGTGACGTGCATGGAAGTTTGAACTGCACCTCTATGATTCCAAAAATTAAGGAAATTTTGCAAATTTTAGCGTTCTGAAGAATTCTAAAAAACGTATGACAAAAAATAATGTTTGGGTTTTACAAAAATAACTATTTTAATATTCTAAAACAATATTTATTCCATTCGCGACATCGTGGCGAGGGTAAAATAAAAAAAAAGCTATGATTCTACTTTAAAAAGTAACGTGTGTAATAAAAAAAAAAAGAAATGCTGATCATCTCCATGTTGGGATTAAATTTAAGCAATTCTCAAAAATAAAGACTTGAAGTAGGAATATACAATTATGGGAAATCAGGATAATCGAAGGGTGTTAATAATCCGACAAATTTTGAAAATGAGTAACTACAATAGTTGCATAAATAACTATCACATTTTAAATGACAATATCAAATAAAAGTAATTAAAGGTTTAATCAAAGTATTTAATGTAAAATTGCTATAGATTAATGTGAGTGAATATACCATTTCCTGGTTCTTGGTTTTCCTAGATAAAAATAATGCACTTGTTTGTACGACTTGACGTTTTTTATTTTTTACCGCTTCTGCTTTTACGGCGATTTAGTATTTACGTCAATAAATAAATTGTTATAGTGTTCGCGTTCGCTGAACGGCAACCAATAACAAGGTCAATAGGAAAATTTTCTCCAATTTAGAAAATCACTTGAGAGCAACCGAATTTTTGTTTCAGACACTATTAACGAATTCGCTAAGCTCAAACATTGCCATCACCAGTAAATCGACCTTACCCTTCTTGATACTTGATATACCTACTAATATCCAGACCCATTCACAACTTTATCATTCCCGCAGTCTGACTAGTCAGTCACTCAACGCCTATGGTTGTGTATGGCCTATGCTCAATATAAAGAGCGTAGAATAATGCTTTGCTTTTTTTTTGGAACCACAGTACCATCTGAGAATCAGAGTACAGAAGTTCTCTCAGGAAAAGAATGCACGCACGCAGATGCCTAACAAAATTCAAATTACCAAGACTTCATAGAAACTATGGATTTCAAAAAAGCAAATTATTGTTTCCAGTTAGATTTTATTACTTAAAAAATAGACAATATTCAAAACTTTACATGAAAATATTCAAAAATTACCTACTAAACTTCAGTTCCTTAGTAGAAGCAAAGATAGTCCTACTTCAAAGTAGGATTATCTTTGGTAGAAGCAAGAATGATGCAGCTGAGCTGAAAGACTTTAGAGATCAAAATATTGCTTTTAAGGTTCTTTTATTGAATTCCCTAAGTTAGTTTTATGAACTAGTATTTGGTTTTAAGTGAATGTAAAAATGCATAAAAATATTTTTGGTGAAATTAGCACATGATAATTACTGACCACTGACCTAATGACAAGTAATTTATTTATTAATTATATCTACAACACTCAAAAATTTATACAATTTTGAATTATTATCAAAAATACTTTTAACCATTAAAATTTGCACAAAGCTTACCGAAACCATTACTATTAAAACAAACATTGAATAGGTGTTTATTTTGAAATATGTTTCTTCTGCAATATTCCTGTCTTTTGCTTCTACTACTTTAATCATGTCTTGTAATAATCTAGCTTTGTTAAGATAAGTTTTAACAGTATTGACTATTTCATAAAATCCTTCTATTTGTGGGATATTATCTATACTGTTATCAAAATGAATATCTGAATTGTCTCCCCATTGATCTTCTTTATTGTTATAAACTGTAAATTCAAAATAAACAGTTTTCGTATTAAACGAACTGAAAGTATTATCAAAGCAAAACTTGTAGTCGCCGGTTTGCTGTATATCAATGTTATGGCTTTTCTCAGTCTTCTTAAAATCAGCAACAAGAACTCTTCCTCTTGGCTCAATAAGATTAAAAGATATATCTAAATCACCGTGTCCCCCATCAATTACTTGGTATTCAATTTCCAGTTGATCGTGTTCTTCTAGAGTTTGGAAAAAGCAGTCTTCTCTTTGGGGTTCAACATTCACAGTGAGGCTTCGCTCCAAAGAATTTGAAATTTGAATAGTACAAAACAGAAGAATGAGGAGGGAGATCATAATTTTGTTTGTGATTTATAACTTTGTTTGAGAAAGAATGAGAATTAAAAGTTTTTTTTTTGGGAGAAGAAAGGAAGCAGAGGAATGATTACAAGACAGGAAATTTTGCTGTTTGAGGTTATGTCAAGGTCCCTTATTTGTTTACAGTTTACAGATTCTTAAGGCGTTTTCGCAAAGCCAAAGTTGGAGTCTTGTTGGAGTAGTATTCGTTGTATGTAAAATACGGAAAAGCACCCAGATGGACAGGGCACAGATCACTCCAAAAGTTAATAGTTATTTGTGTATCAAGGGAAAGGGAATTATGAGGGTGTTAATACTCCACGGCAATTGCCCGTGGGTATTAACACCTGATAATTCCCGTGGTACATAGATAATTTTATTTCCTACTGAATTTACTGTATTTTGTCCATTTTTATAAAGAAATAAACCATAAACCAAAATTTCTATTTTTTGTCAAAGTTTTACCTATTCAAGGTGAAAGCGGGAGTTATGGAAATCCTCAACTCCCTTGGGAGTTATGAAATCCTTAACTCCCGCGCGAGAGTTATGAAATCCTTAACTGCCTTGAGAGTTAAGACCCTGTTTATGATTATCGTAAGCAAGGTATTATATGGTTATAATAGTTCAGTAGGAAATAAAAACATTTTCGGCTTTTACTGATCCCAAGGATGTCTAATGAAACAAAACCGGGGCACAGCGTTCTCTCTCATTAGGGATGGCTGCCTATTAGCAAGGATGATACACACTACTACTACATGATGGCCTATCCTCATAAGGCCTGTGTGTAACAATTCCCCCCCTACCCCCCCAACATCAAGCTAAACAACTAGTTGTGACGTAAGCAGCATGGCGTTTCTGGCGTTTCTCGCCGTAGCGTAGGCTGGTTAAACAGCTGACGACTTAGTTATGACGTCGGCAATGGTTGAAACAGTTGAAAACCAATATGGTTACTACCAAAATGGTTATTACCAAAAACGCAAAAACGAGGCATCTAGAGTGTGTATTCTCCTTGGCCTAATAGTTAATACTAGAACTGATCCCAGGAAACTGCTGCCGGATTACAATTTCACTAGTCGACACGAGTCGAGCGTTTCGTAAAATCTGTTTTTTTTTTAAAGATAAAAGTCAAAATGACATTATGTTGGCAATACAATGTAAAATTGTCAATACTTTCAAATTTTTTATGTAGAAAAGGCTTGTGTTGCCAACATAAGCCGCTTTCCAGTTGATGCTTTTGAGCACGCAATCGAGCTTTTGCGCGCGCAAATGCTTCAAGCGCGTGTTCGTGTTCCAGCCGTACTGCGGTTCGAGAGCTGTTAACTTTTGCGTTTCAAACACAGAACACTGTGCTGCAACGTGCTTGAAGCACACAGCTGGAAAGCGGCTATAGTTACTAAATTTTTGACTTGGGGAATTATCTTTAAAAAAAAACAGACTTTATATGCAACTTCAACGTTATTTCCTAGTCGCATCCTTCGACTTCGAGTAATTAGAATCCCTATCCTGATCTTAACAGTGGGAACTGACTGATCCAAACTGATCCACTGCAAAATAAACAGGTCCAAGTTCGAGTTCGGTCCATTTTTGCGTTGTCTACGTTGTACGGACTCGGCTTACAGCGATTTCCATTTGTCGAACCAGTGCAAAAAAAAATGTATATCCTTACATGTTATACATGCTTTTAGAGAAAGATGCGGATACACTCAGTGCACACTGATTGACAAATGGAAATCGCCATTAGACTCGGACTATAATCGGATCGCGCCGCGCCGGCCGGCGGAACAGGGACATACAGTAAGAGATGGAGTACACTACACACCGACAAACTCGTTTCGGTCAACAGCTCGGGATTGTCGGGATCACGCCGCACCGGCGCGGCCGCTGGAACAGAGAGAGTACGAGAGTGAACCGACGATAGGATATAAGTCGCTTTCCAGCTGTGTGCTTCAAGCACGATGCAGCACAGTGCGTGCTCAAAATGGTCAGCAGGAAAGCGGCTATAGATGGAACGGAACAGAAAAAACTGATCTAGGTGCTTTATGATGCTAGATGTTGTCTAGGGAATTTAGCAACCCTCTTGCTTTTTTTGGCCAGAATAGTTGAAACCAGTATTTCGGTTCGGTTCATCCTTCATCGGTTCTCGGTTGGACTCGGCGGACTCGAACTTGCAACTGATCTATGAAACAGGTATCTGTTTGGACCGCATCAGTTCAGAACTGATCCGTTAAATTTGTTGGATCAGCCATCTCTAGTTCTCATGTGAACGATTGCTCTGTCTTTGTCAGTTTTATGGAAATACAATGATGGAAATATACCTGGCAAGTCAGCATCTTACGGGCCAATTTTAATGCAATAGAATGAAATGTCTAGAAAAAGTCTAAAGGCTCAGCCAGGATTTGGATACCTTTTTATTGAATCTTCCAGAGTTTTTAAGATTTACACAAACTTCTAATCTGGGTATCTTCATAGGGGACATAAATATTGACTTACTGAAAACTGACAGAAAAGGAAAAATTGAAGACTACTTAAATATAATTCACGAATGCGGATTCATTTCGCTTATTAATCAATACACACGTGAACGTAATACACAAAAAAGTTGCTTAGACCACATTCTCATTAATAAATCACAAAACTTATGCAATTTTTGTACATACATAATAAAAACTCAAATAACCGATCACCATGCTGTAGCACTGTCTATTCCTTTGAATGCTCCGAGAAAATCAAATGAATCAAATTTATGTGGCCAGAATACGAACTATGATCAACTAAAAAACTTGCTTGCCGCTGAACCTTGGACAAAAGTAATGCTTGAATCGAACCCTGACATAAGTATGGGCATTTTTATAAAATCCCTCGAAACACATATAAGAAGTTCTAGTACAGTTACCAAAAAACAGAGGAAAACTATAAAAAGAACACCATGGATTACCAAAGCCCTTACAAAATCAATAAATACACGTGATGAACTTTTTAGGCGCGTTAAACAAGATCCAAATAATGAGGTATTAAAAATTCAATATAGAAACCATAGGAATAAGATTCATTCTCTAATTCAAAAAGCAAAAAATAATTATTATCTATCCGCTTTTGAAGAAAATAAAGGAAATCCTCGGAAGTTTTGGGGGACGGTTAGGAATGCATTGAATATGCAGTCTTCAGGCCATGAAATCGGACGGATGAGGAACGATGCAGGACAAATACTGAACAGTGACTCGGAGAAAGCGGAACAATTCAACGACTTTTTCGCAAACGTGGGAGAAAACTTAGCCAATCAAATAACCGTTCCAAATCAAAATAGCTACTTAAAGCACCTTAGCTTTAAATGCAGAATAAAAAAATCTTTTTTCCTTTCTCCGGTCACAGAAGCAGAAGTACTCACAATACTTCTAACACTAAATAATAACAAGGCACCGGGCCTTGACGGAATAACACCATACCTTGTAAAGCAGATTGCTCCCTACATCACGAAGCCCTTACTGCATATTTTTAATTTATCTTTCGTAACAGGGGTGTGTCCCAGTCATTTGAAAGAAGCCAACATAAAACCTATATTTAAAAATGGAAACAAAGAACTTTGTACAAACTATCGTCCTATATCATTGTTATCTGTTTTTGCTAAAATCTTCGAGAAGCTTCTAAAACATAGGATTACAGAATGGCTGCAGAATCATAAAGTTCTAAATAAAAAACAGTTCGGCTTTCGAGAAAACCTAAGTACAGAAGATGCTTTGGCGGCAATTACAAAAACTATATATTCTGAACTAGATAACTCCAGACCAATAGCAGGTATTTTCTTGGATCTTAAAAAAGCTTTTGACACTGTGGACCACTCATTGTTGCTGAAAAAACTAGAAATTTTAGGGTTCCGTGGTGTAGTGCTTCAACTTCTAAAAAGCTATCTTTGTAACAGAACTCAAAAGGTTACAATTGGAAAATCAACTAGTACAGGTAAATCTGTTAATTTTGGAGTCCCTCAAGGAACGGTCCTCGGCCCTGTACTCTTCCTTATATACATAAATGACCTTCTTAGTCATGACCAGACCTTGGACTGTATATCCTTTGCTGATGACACAGTTATACTTATTGGAGGCGAGTCGTGGAACAACATCAAGAAAAAGTCTGAGATGTCTTTGAAGGTGGTCAAAAACTGGCTAGATTTAAATCTTTTAACTATTAATTGGGACAAAACAAAATTTTTACCATTCTTTATTGACGAGCGTACAGAACCCAACTTTCAAAAAATAAACCTTCACGCTTGCTCGGATCAAAACGCTTGTCAATGTTCTACATCCATCGAAGTTGTCGAAACAATTAAATATTTGGGAATTATACTAGATAACCAACTCCAATTTAAAATACATGCTGAAAAACAAGCAAAAAAATTAAGAAAAATAGTGTTTGTTATTAGGAAACTGCGAAGTTTTCTAAGTAAATACAACCTAAAGACTGTTTATCACGCAATTTTCGAATCGACCATGCAGTATGGCGTAATAGCTTGGGGAAGCAGTTACAAAACATCACTAAACTGCTTGGAAGTAACGCAAAGAAGCTGCATTAAAACTATCCTAAAAAAAAGCCTCCTATACCCAACAGAATTACTTTTTGAAGAATTTATCGTTTTTCGTCTGAGGCAAATGTATGCATATAAAGCCTTACTGTATATTAACAAGAATCGCGACATTATTAGACCTCTAAATATGAACTTCTATAACACCAGACAACTTTCCCAAGAAACTGTCGAAATCCCCAGGAAAAGTAAACGCATCTCACAGAAGTGTATTACGTTCATGGCTCCAAAAATATTCAACCTTATACCTTTAAATATAAAAAATCTGATAGACCACAAATTCAGGTTTAAGAAGAAATGCAAATTTTTTCTATTATCGTTGAATTATGCAACATTAAGCGACGCTTTTCCCTAAAAATCTCAACTGAAATAAACCAATGTTCTCCCATTTTTAATTACTTTATTTATTTTTTATTTTTATTATTTTTTTTCATTGTGTGGTAATCTCCACACTTTCTGAGTGGCATATTTGTAGAATACTTAGTTAAGCACAATAATATAGTAGGTACTCAAAAATTATATAGGTTTAGATTTAGAACTAGATTTAACCCATGTCTAAATAAATATTTTGAATTATGAATATATGGTAAATGTGCTGCGCGCTGGTAGGTAAACTGCCTTAGTAGCACTCACCTATTTATTCGGATTCCTGTAATTTATAACAATGTTGAAATTATAATTCTTGAGATTTGATTAAGGTTAGATTAAGGTTAGGAAACAAAATTGTACACTTTGAAGGAATTTGAATAAATTTACATCACATTTACATCACATTTACATCCTCAATCAATTTAGTAGCGAAGTGGCACTTCGGCACGCAAGCTAGGTAAATGTTGTTTAACGTTGGCAT